CTAGCATTAAAGCCAAGTATCTACCCACGAAAGTAGATCTTTTAACTGTAATACATACAGAACCATAAGACAATGTTAGCTGCTGGGAGCAAAACGCTTCAAAACCAGAGACAAGTTCTCTTGGGACAAGCGACTCTCTTCAGCATCTCGTGAGACAAGGACTCTGCTAGACAATGGAGACAGGAGGGCTCCAGGCCTCGAGCTGAGGGAAATGGCCCACATCAAGGCATTATTAGTGTGTGTGCTAGGGCAAAGAATCTGGGTTAAGGGGCCTGAATTTGTCTACCCTTGGTGAGTTTACAATCTCAAATTTACTCCACCCAATGCACACTCTCAAACAACTACAGGTAAGTTCCATTCATGAGTGTATACTAAAATCTACCACTGAACTCTCCTACTAAAACAACATCACACTGTCCAACAATGACCAACTCAGCAGAATCTACAGACTCAAGAAGTCTTTCCTCTCCTTTGGAAGCCCGGCCAGCAGGATGTCACAAGCAGGTAAGTTTCAAGCCAAAATACAAGTCATGGTTTATCTCCTCCTATGCCAAGGAGATAGGAAAGCAAGACCCAGGAAAAGGAACCTATCCTCCTCCTCAGCAATGGCCTTGATGCATACCAAGACCCCAGAATGTCAGAGCAAAAAGGAAGACTAGCCACCTAACAAACACTTACTCAACACTCGTAAGTGTAACTAAACACAGAGAGCTGAAAGCAAATCAGGCAAACAGGCTGTGTGGTGAGCTCAAAGGGCCACAAGTTCAAAAAAGAAGCAAGAAGAAATACTTAAAAGTCAAGTTAAACCAGAGTGCTAACCAGACAGCTGGGGAAAGTTACCCACTAACTGATCTTATCTACTCTTCAGTTGAGAAGAGGGGTTACATGGTATGAACAAGACAGGGTGTGACACAACACAGGTTCCTGGAAAAGCAGTAAATTGTTCATAATCAAATGTGAGAGTTAGGCATGGTATCCATGCCTGGAATCCCAGCCATCACAAGCAAGAGGACCACTAGTTCAAGGCTAGCTCAGGAAACCTACCAAGATCCTGTCTCAAAACAAAGGAACAACAAAAACAAAAAACACTGTTGTTTTAACACACACACACACACACACACACACACACACACACACACACACACACACACACAGTCTCATTCCTGCTGAAACAGAACTGAGGCATTTTTTCCCCGTGCTCAATGGCTAATCCCTAAAATGTTAATAATTAATTTTCAAATCTCAAAGTATCTGAAATCATTCTTTAGGGAAGTGAGTGGCTATTAGCAGAGATCATAGACAGCACAAGGCTTGCAGACTCCAGTAACAAAATCAATGCTTCGCTCGGGAAAGACCTGATCGACCGAGGTATCAGCATTGTGGAGGATATTTGTATTGTTTTCAGAGAAGGGCATCAAACTCAGCATCAATAAGGATGGTCATTTTTTCAGTGGCTCACAATGGACAGTCTTAGTTGAATCAGGCAACAAGGTCCCCAAAGCACATCCAGTGGTCTGAAAGCCACTTTTTAAATATGTTACAGCTAGGAATGCTACAATCTCTCCATAGCCAAATTTTTCCCCCTCCAGAATATCAAATTCTTACCAAATACTACAGAATTCTTACTTACCCTGATCCAACAATTGTAAAAAATGGTTACCGCTGGTCACTACGTAACCAACAAAACTCAGTGTGTTGTTACAAATCTGGTAGCAAGGTTAGAGTCATACAGATTTGCTCCATACATAGACCAAAGCACGAACATGTTGGGGGGCAGTCATTATGATCTCCAAGTCTTTTTCACTTTTTTAAAAGGGCATTTTTAATCAAGACCCTCGGTTACAGGTATCTTGTGTGTTCCCAGCACCCATTCTAGAAATGCAATAAAATACTTGCGGAACACAGTTCCTGACAACCAACACTAAAGGTTTCCCAAAGCAAGCAGAGGGGAAACACAAGAACATGCGAACTATTTGTAGTATGCTTTTTATTCTATGTTTCACAACTCAAGTCTGAATAATGCTTCCAGGAACTTGATTCCGTGGGGGAGAAAAATACACTGCTACAATATTTTACACGTGTCCCGTTTATGGAAAATGCAAGTAAAACGAACATTATTTTTACACTAAGTTCCTTATTTCATAGAAACTTATTACAAGTAACATGACCCCACTGTATATACCATATCATGTATGAAACAGTATCATGTAAGGAAAGACAGAATCTGCCTTAAACTCTCACGCAACCCACTGCAAAAGTTTGACCATTAAAACATTAAAATAAGTATATTGTTAACCCAACCACTGGATCAGTGAAACTATATCAGCAGGGGAAAAGAAAATGTTGTCTGGAAATAAAGACAAAGGCGTTTTTGTCCCTGTTGAGCCATTCATTTATTATGACCTTACCTAATTAGCTAGCCTCCCTGGGTCTCAACTCGCTTGTTTGATTTTATTTTTTACTCAGCCTATGTATGTAGCATTGTCCAGAAAACCAATATGACATTCATATCGCCCTTTTCTTGCTCAAAAAGAAAAAAAAAAAAACCTCACATTTCACTTGGCAGCTTTAAATTTCCGAGTTTGGATCTCTATCAAAGGCAATTTATTAAAATGTCCGATGAGCTTAAGCCCATTTCTTGGGGGAGAATAAAGCAAGCATTGCTTACAGATTCAAGTTTCATCTAGACAACAGCTGCAGTAATTGAGCGAACAGCCTTTCTTAGTCTTGTCTTACAGGCTCTACAAGTGGAGAAAACTAGAAAGGGTGATTTTCACGGTTTCAGAAATGCAAACCGAGGGCTTTTCCCTGCCTTTCTCTTCTTTACCTTTTTTTTTCTCCTGTTCTTCCTCTTCTTTCTCCTCCCTCAACTTCTCCACCTTTGCTGTCCTCTTCCTCCTTGAGGAGGGAAGGGATAAGGGGTGGAGAGACTTGTAGCCCAGACTGCCTCAGCCCCCCAGGTAGGAAATGGAACTCCAAACACCAGTTTTCAGGTCCCACTATTTTGCCTCACAGAATAAATTCTTACAAAAACTGTTCTACCACTCCTCCTCTGGCTTCTTAGAGAATCGCAAGCACAATGGTTTTTTCCAACCACTCACACGTTTATGGGAGCTTTCCTTGTCTTCCTGGCCTGACTAATAAATCCAACAAAAAAAAAGTATGTATTACTCAGCTTTGAAAATGGAACCCACCGTGGCCTGTGGCTTCTCCAGGGACATTTACTCCATTCCACTCTCTCTCCCTACCAACAGAACTCTCCAGAAGGCAAAAGTGTTAAGATTTCTTGCAGATGGCTGGCACACAGTAGGTGACAGGTATTTTGAAGAACTTGAAAACACAAATATTTACAACAGCATGCCAAATGTAAGTTGCAAACCACAAATTTGGTAGTGAGTATTCCTCCCTCTCTCCTTTTTGCCAGTCCTGGGGCTTGAATTCTGGGCCTGGGCACTGTCCTTAAGCTTCTCTGGCTTAAGGCTAGCGCTTTACCACTTGAACCACAGTGCCATCTCTGCCTTTTTCTGAGTAGTTTATTGGAGATAGTCTCACAGACCATCAGTCTCACAGACTGGGCTGGCTTCAAACCTAGATCCTCAGATTGCAGCCTCCTGAGTAACTACCATTACAGGTACTGCCTCCATTTCTCTTCCTTTAAGTACAAGATTCCTCCTTCTTTACAAAGATTGGCCCAAAGGCAAATAGCCAGTAAATAGCACCTGTTCAACTTCAAAAAATGGCTCACAGGACTACCTGTTTGCCTTCTCGTTTTCTGTCTAGCTGTTTGAGAACTTAGATTCAGGTTTCCTGTTGGACCTAACACTTGTGAAAATTCAATTATGTGCTAGACCAAGGAAGGAAACTTTACTTAAATAATTGACCAAGAACAGCAACTTCATAAAGCACTTCATACACGATTGCAGGTTCATGCGTGGAAATTACAGGTTCTACTTTTCTGTACACGCACACACACACACACACACACACATACCACAGAAAAGCAGATCTTCAATTTTCATTCACAGGCTGATAAAGCTGAACAGGTGAAGGCTGAGAATCTCAGAATTCATTTCAAATTGTACTTACCTAACCTGTGCACACACAACCTCTCTGATGAGGCAGCATCTGCTGTACTGAACTGAAAGCCAAAAAACAGTCTTCCAGTTTCATCTGTTCCTACCCATCCAGTGCAGACAGACAGAAAGATGAGACTTTTTTTTTGTGGAGTCATTCCCACAGTGGGACAAAGCATCACACGGTGCTACCTAACCTCCCTAACTGGAGGACCAGCCTCTAGCACTCTCCGGCGTGGCTTAGAAATGCACATTCAAAAGAACCTCTGAATAGGCCGTGGATTATAGAGCGAGAATATGAATCCCAGATCCATTATGGGAAAAAAAAAAAAAAGAGAAGAGAGCATGCTTCCTTCGGTGATCAATATGAAGAATATGAAGCCAGATCGATTGTGAGAAGAAGAAAAGAAAAAGCAAGCTTCCTCCAGTGGGCACCGTCAGAGCTCTAGGGCTATTTCATAGGTGTTTATTTGGAGCAGCTGTTCCCAACAGGTATTGCCTGGGCTATCCAAGGAACCAAGGTTTCCATGGGCTGAAAAGAGCCTCCCCGTCCCTCACCCCCTTTCCCACCACTAAACCCCACGCTTTGGACTGGGAAGAACTCACAAGACTTGTGCGTGTGCACACACACACACGTGCCCAGCATCCTCAGTGGTCCTAGTAACCCAAGGTAAGGGAGCAAGTTCCCAGGCCCTCGACCCTTAGCCCAGGCTGACCAGAGGACACACAGAGCCCCCCCCGGGGGTCCTAACCTTGGACGGGAGCGTTCACCCCAGTGAGCCCTTTTCCCCCCCAGCAGGGGGCATGGAGGGTCGTATGGCTAGCCTTCACTGCACTCTTGGGGTGCCCACCGCCCCCCTTCTCTGCCAGGACCTCCCAGCTCTGGTCGAGCCCCCCCCCCCCCCCCCCCCCCCGTCTCTCACCAACCTCCTCCAAGTGCCAAAGCAGTTCCCCAATCTTGAAGCCAAGGCGCCCGGGGGCTCGGGCAGAGCCGCGGGCGGCGGCGGCCCCACCCACGGGGGGGGGGACCGGGATCCCCGCCGACGCCGGACACTGGACGGCACCCCCCGGCTGGCTTCCGGCGGGGCTGACCCCCCTCCCCCCACACGCACACACACGCACGTTCAAAGGTCCATTGTTCCAAGAAAAGCCAGAGAAAGGACCCGACCCCGACTCGGACCCCGCGGGAACGCGGTTTCCTGCAAACCCGGAGGCGCGAACCCGGGAAGCGGGGAGGCTCGGGACGGACGGCGCCCCCGGTCCCGACAGGCAGGGGGCCAGGCCTCCCCAGGTGCGCGGGGCCGCGGCCCGGGCTTACCTTCCCCCCACACTCCCGGGCGCGCGGCGTCGGCGGGCTCCGGTGCCCCTAGGCGGCGATCCGGGGAACCCGAGCGCGGAGCCCGGCGTCCCGGGGTCCCGATCGCCTCTCCATGGCCCGCGGGGGCTCCGCCCCCCGCCTCCGCGGAGCCCGGGTCCGCTCCGCGCCGCCGGGCGTCCGCCTCGTCCCAAGCCCCGGAGAGCACGGGGGGCCTCGGCTCGCGTCCGCGCCGGCACCGCCGCCCGGCTCTCCTCCCGGGAGGAAGAGGAAGGAGGCTCGCGGGCCGGTCTGCCCGCGCCGAGAGTCCCCGACACGGCCCGGGAGGGAACCGGGGTGCAGAGCGCGTCCCGCAGCAGCGCAGGTCCCGGCTCGGCGGGCGCCGCCACTCGCGAGGGCCGCGCTCAGCCTCCGCCGCCGGCCCGACGAGCGCGCGGCGGGGCTGCCTTGGGCCGCGGGGCTGGGGATTGGGCGCGCGGCCGACGGCGCGCGAAGGAGGCGGGGCGCGAGGGAGGCGGGGCGCGAGGGAGGCGGGGCGCGAGGGAGGCGGGGCTGGGGATTGGGCGCGCGGCCGACGGCGCGCGAAGGAGGCGGGGCGCGAGGGAGGCGGGGCGCGAGGGAGGCGGGGCTGGGGATTGGGCGCGCGGCCGACGGGGCGCGGGGGAGGCGGGGCCTCCGGGGCGGAGGAGGCGGGGTCGGCGCCGAGCGGCCTCCAGCGGCGGGGCCCTGGGGACGCGGGAGCTCGGCGCTTGGAGAGCGGGCACCGCACCCCGCCGACCCCGGGAGGGGGCCAGGCAGCGCCCCAGGCCGACGGCTGCGGGGCCCGGGTCGCGCGTACCGGGCTCGGCTGAGGCCCCCGCCCGCTCCCAGTCACCCCGGTTGCGCCGGATCTGCCGCCCCCGGCGCTGCGCCCCATCTCTCCATGGATGGGAGTCCGTCCCTCCGCGCGTTCGCTCTTCCAGGCCCCGGGGTCCCTGCGCCCTCCTCCCCATCCGCGGCTGCCCCCACCTGGCCGGGCGCTGGGGCCTCGGCTGTCCCCAAAGAACCAGCCCGCCAGCCTGCTCCGGACGCGGGACGGACAGAGCCCCGGGGCGCCGAGGGGGCCGGCCCGGGGCCCGGGGGAATAAATACACTTCCCCCCCCGCCAGTCCCCCTTCCCGTGACACACCCCGTCCCGTGGACGGGGTCCCGGGAGCCCCTCCTCGGTCCACCCCGGTGCCAGGGGATCTGTCTACGCCCGGGGCGGGGCTGGAGGGCGCGGCCGGGCTCGATCCCGCAGACCCACGAGGTCGCACCGAGCTCAGGACCGCTGCCCGGCGGCCAAACCCATCCTCCCTGGCATTCGGCCTGGAAGTTTCCCCGGGAGGAGACTTCTCTCCGCGAATCCTGTACGGAGCAGGTGGTCCCTTCTCAGGATTGCCCTCTTGACCGTGTATTTTCCACCCTTTCCATTGGAACTTTTAGAGTCGGTCGTGTAACCACGTCGCACTCAGCGGGCAGGAAGGGGGGATGCCCTCTCGGGAGAGTCTGGGTCCAGAGCTTTGTGGAAAAAGAATCAATGTTTGGCTGATGATGAGAATCCTTGGGGACACACACACACACACACACACACACACAACTTGTATTCACACAGTCTACTGAATCAGAGGTGCCTGGAAAGTAAAACTGGGAAATGACATTAGAACCCATCTACTAATCAAAACCTTGAAAAGATGTCCCTCAAACCTCAGTGGTGTCTGCTGCTGAGACTTTATAGACAGTTACACAGTTGCCTGTCCAAGCTTGGGTCCCTTCTGGAAAAGGAAGGGAAAATATCAAATATATCTAAAAAAAAAAAAAAAAAACTAGCAGATGTGTGTGTGTGTCTGTATGACCTGAAGGTTAAACTTGGGGTCTGGGTGCTGACCCTGAGCTTCTTAGTACTCAAGGCTAGCACTTGAATCACAGCGGCCACTACCAGCTTTTTCTAAGTAACTTATTGGAGTTGAAGAGTCTCATGGTCTTTCCTGGCTGGGCTGGCTTCCAACAGGGATCCTCAGATCTCAGCCTCCTGAGTAACTAAAAATACAGGCATGAGCCATCTGCCTAGCAGATGGAAGGGACAGAGGACAATTTTAGTGGAAGCAAAGTGAAATATTATTAGGACTATGCTTCAGGAAGACAAAGCAAGAACTATGTCACCCTGGGAGGGAGGCTGGGAAATGACCCATCCCCCCCAACATACCAAGTTTTAATCTCTGGAATCTGTAAATGTTACCAGACACAGAAATTGGAGTTATTGCAGGGGGCGTTAAATTAAGGGTCTCAAGTTGGGGCAGTTATTCTACCCAAATCGCAGTCGCTTGTATCCTTTCAACAAGAAGCGCAGGGAGATTTCACAGAAAGAAGACAGGTGAGCTTGGAGGCAGAGATTGATTGAAGTAATTTGGCAGTAATAAAGAAAAGCAGAGTCAAGAAAGAATTCTCCTCTGGGTTACTGATTTAGACCAGTGAAACTGAGTTTAGATGTCTTTTCCACACGTGTGACAATAAATTTCTATTGTATTGATCTGCCAATCAGTGGTAAATAGAATACCGAAACCACAGGAACCATGAGCCCTGAACTTTATACAAAATGTCTTCTTTCTCAATACTTAACACTAGGTACTTTGACTGTGGTTAAGATATGTTATCTAATCATGGTAGCTCAGGCCTATAATCCTAGCTGCCCCCGAAGCTGAGATCTGAAAACTGCAGTTTGCAGTCAGCCTGGAAGGAAAATTTGCGAGACTCCTCTCCAATTAGCCTCCAAAAAGCAGGAAATGGAGTTGTACCTCAAGTGGTAGAGAACTAGCTTCTGAATTCAAGCTCCAGGATGAGAAGAAGAAAGAAGGAAGAAGAAAAAAGGAGAAGAAGAAGAGGAAGAGGAGGAGGAGGAAGAGGAAGAAGAAGGAGAGAAACATTATCTAAGTGCTCCAAAAAGTAATGATTCCAATTTTATGATGGAATGCTGGCCCTCAGAAAATCTAAAGGAGCAACCTTAGGCCCTAGGCCCAAGACAAGAGCTTATTAGAATTAAATGTGATTGTCAGCATTGAGAGAAAGCAAGCATCAGATAGGGAATTTGAGCCCTGGTCTCAGGCAATTTTTTTAAAAAAGAATAAAGACTGCCAAGTACTCATATATTAAAAAAAAATAGCAGTGGCACATCCAGAGAAGCTTTTAGTGAAAGTTTTGGTTGTAAAGAGGTCTTCTACCATCAATATCAAGTCCTAAAACCAAGTGAAATAGATGCTGAGAGGGAGAAGAAGGAAGATCAATATACAAGAGATCTCTATCTTCTGCCTTTCTGCTCAGTTTTCATGTGAACCTAAAGCTAAACACTATAGTGTATTAAACTAGGGGTTACAGTTTTGTATAGTTACCTTTGAGGAAAACCTTTTTCTTTTTTGTCCATCATGAGGCTTGAATTCACGGCCTGGACTCTGTCCCTGAGCTCTGATGTTCATGTCTAGCTAGAACTCTACCACTTTGCACCACAATTGGAGATGAGAGTCTCACAGGACTTTCCTGCTGGGGCTGGCTTTGAACCTTGATCCTCAGATCTCAGCTCCTGAGTAGCTAGGCTTACAGGTGTGAATCATCACAGCTGAGGAAAAACACTTTTATCAAATTTTATAAATAAATGTGTATAGATACCTATCTATAACAAAATAAAACCCAAGGAAGCTATTATGGAAGGAAGTTACAGATGGAATATAGTATGAGAACACAGACTCCTTTTGGTTTATAGAACTGATGTCATTAGCCTATCTTCCCAGGCTCTGAGACAGAATGGCAGGATGTTGATTAAGGAATGCCCACGGGGTCACCACCTGTGCTAGGAGGGACAGGAAGCAGGCGGAAGGGAAGGAGACGAAGAACTGCAATGTTACCTCACGCCCTCCAGCAGCCCCACTGGAGGCTCTGCTGTTAGCATGGCCCATCAGAGTGATTGGGCCTAAACAGCCAGACCTTTGGAAACCTTCCTGAGCCAGCTATTGGATGGGATCCATCCTGGGAAATGGCATGACCTGGGGAGAGGCAGAGCTGGGCAGACAGTTCCTTGTCAGCAGATCTGGGCAGTGGTTCTCCAGGTCACACACTTACGCCGTATAATGGGACATCCTCGCAATTAGGCTGCTCTTTCCAAACGAGGAGAGCAAGCTTCTGGTAAGTGGGATGCTCAAAGTAGGCATTTCTTTCCTGGTCATTACTGCGCATTTATAATGTGGAGGCAGAATAAATAGCACACGGGCTTAGAGGCAAGACCTTCGAGTCACAAGTCTATGTTAGAACTGTGTCCACTAGGATAACTTTGGGCAAGAAGGCCAGCCTCTAATTGCCTCCTTCCCTCCTTCTCTCTCTCTCTCTCTCTCTCTCTCTGCCTGCCTTTCTTTCTTTCTCTCCTTTGTTTTTCTTCCTTCCTTCCTTCCTTCCTTCTCTTCTCTTTTCTTTCCTCTCTTTTCCTTCCTTTCCTTTTTTTTTCATTTCTTTCTTTCATTTCCTTTATTTTCTTCTTTCCTTGGTCCTATGCCAAAATTGAGGCCTGAACTCAGAGCCAGCGCACTGACCCTGAGCTTTTTTGCTCAAGGCTGCTGCTGTTCTATCATTTGAGCTACATTCAATTTTTTGGTGCTTAA